GCCATCATGGTCTCTAGTCTGCTTGTCATAGGAGATAGTCAACCTAACTTGACAGAAGAATCTATGTTGGCAGCTATGGGTTACTTTGTCCAATGGTACCATATAGATCTAGGGAGAATATTTATCTAAGGAGACAAATTTGAATCCACAGAGAGCTTTATGCCTTATCTATTATATCATATTCATTCATTGCTCAAAGATTTAACGTCATTGGGGAACTTATGGGCTCTATTCATGACCGTAATTTAGTGGTGCCATTTGGCGATAAAACCACATAGTTCAGAGGGTCCCGATCATAACCATTTTCCTGCGGTATCATTTGGCAGCAAACCACCATTTAGAGGATACGTGCAACGTCCTTCCTAGCATGAGACTGTTTGAAAATGAATACTAGTGATATTCTTGACTAAATATTATTTGTGAGCTAGCGTGATTTTTTTCATTTGTCACCTCAGTAATTTTTTATGGAGAGTGGATAGATTTTTTCTTTAAGTATTTATGTGTTAAATTTTAATTTTAAATATTGATTTCATTGCATGTACTTCGTGAGATTTGGAGGCATTTTAAATATTTGGCGACCCCTCCGGTTGAGATTTTCATTCAACACGGTCATCATCGGAATATATATAGGCAATTTCATTTTATAGATTAAACCTTCATGACTCTATCATTTTGATGACAGAGGATTGAGTTTGTTGTCGACTTCATGCTTTTATTTAATAAATTTTCTTTGTAATAAGCCTTGATAGCCTAATGAACATATGAAATAAATATTATGATAGACACCACGATCATACATTTATTTAACAGTTTGAATAGTCTAAACTCCTATCTACCCACATAGAATGATCAGGCTCAAATTTAAATTTATTTTTTAATCCGAGTAACAATCTTAGATATCACGTGTGTAAATGCATCACATTTACCATGACCCATACAGACATTTATTTTTTCATGTACTTTGCATGATACATTTGTAATGCAATAATTTGCATACAATACTGTGGATGTATACTGGATGTTTATTTTCTTGCATATGCATTTATGCGTTCATCTATATGCTGATATGCTTGCATGTGCTCTTATGTATTCATATATATGCATGTATATTGATACTTGTTGCATAATGTGTTGATATATGTGATAGAGTGGCCCACTACACTATCATGACAATTTATGTATTTGCATGTACGATGCACTCATATATTTGTTATTTGCTAGCATATTGAATTTGTGTTAATTCAATTCCCTTTGCGTAGTACATGATGCATTTGCATGATGATTTAGTGCTTGCATGTAGTGTACGATATGCTTTCATATAAGCGTAACAAACTATCACTACATGGTACATTTCACATATTAAATAATATGTATGTATGATGTGTTTTGTATTTTGCAATGCATATATGCCTAATGAATTTGAGCATATTGAATGACATGTTTGGGTGAATTATGATGTCCATTGTAATGCATGTATGGAGGCATTTTAATATATTTAGCAATAATCCGTTGTGTGGGCAATTATCATTTGTATGTGTGCATTGTTCTATTTAAGAGCATGTGTATGCCTTCTGTCCTCTTGTATGAGTGTTGTTGATCTGATGTCGTGCCACTGTGATAGGCTTTATTTATTTATGTATCGATGATGCAGTTTAGTTCATTTCATCTACTGAATGCTACCACTTTCTTCAGCATTTAGCCCGTAGGGGTTTCCTTTTGTTTGCAAATGCATTGCATGATGCATTGGGGTCTTCCACCTGTCGTTTTGCATGCAAGATAGTTTATCCGGCATGATTATTTGATGTCGTAGATTTATTACTTTGGTCTGTCAATTGTTTACGGTTTTTATTACAGATTCTCTACTTTGTTTTTAAGTGAATCACAGTGTTATCATCCGGTGAAGCCATGAGATGCTTCATTATGTTAATGTAGGCTCCATCCTGATCTGTAGTAGTGATGACATGAGTTGCACTATGCTTTCATTGATAATTTACAAGCACATTACTTGGTCCAACAAACTTCCTTATAGTTATCAATTGGATAACTTAATTATACTTAATCAGCTAAGCCCCCAGCTTCAGTAGAATGAGATTGTTTTTATTTTTATAGGGGATCTATCACACTTGCAGCATCTCTATCACCACTACTTATAGGTGTTCATATTCATAATGGGCTCTTAATTTCAGCTTACATATGAACATTCACATCTTAGGTTTCTCGCTTGTACGTCTAATACAGATCCCTAAATATGCTTGTTAGGAAACCACTATACTTGCATCAAGTTATATGCAAACAATTGATGTTGGCTACAGGATATTGCTACATTCACTAATTGTAGCCCTTGTATGAACTATTGTGTGCATGATAGGTCTTTTACCATCAATTACAAGTGTCGCGACTTTCACCTACAAGTTAATTGTTGCTTGTATAACAAGTTTTTCATCTTTACATGCAGGAAGTGTTTATGTTCCTTCCAGTTGACTGACGTTGTTTGGAATTGTTTGAATATTGCCATTTATTGTATGTGTGCATTAAAGATCTTGTTCTTTACAGGTCCTTACTTGCTCATTCATGCTTATTTAATTGACTTGAATTATCATTTATTATTTGCATTTTTAATTTAATTATGCATTATATAATTTAGGATCTAGTTTTCCTATTGTTCAGTGTAAAAGTCATGTTCCGAGTCATTTAGCTTGAAAAAAGTCCCCAATTTCTCATTTGAATTTTGTGCATCTTCATTTTGAATTTTAGCATCATCCTGACATCTCTCCCATTTTAGGGGAAATTCAGGAAGTTGGACCTTCCTACTATGCCAAGAAAGATGTGTATGGTAGGTGTCAGTATACATCGTAGTTGTGCTTTCAATCTCATCACTGTAAGAAAAATGTATATGGGTCTCCGGAGGCACCTGATTTGGAATGCACATTTCTTTTCCCATAGGAATTGAGGCACATACACGGGTACTTAAAGTTATCCCCATCACGCTAAGAAAAGTATGTACAGTGCCTACCCGCCTTGCCGCAGTTGCTGCACCGTCTTCTCTCCTACCCTGCTAAGAAAAACACATATAGGTGATGTTTTGGCATGCCACGAGTGCCAAGGGTGGGGCTTGGAACATTATACCTTCGCAAGGGGTCGTGGCGACGATGTCGAGGTCGACGGTTGTATCTTTATCAGTGTCAACAATGCATGAGGTTGTTGGCATGTAAACCGAGGCAAAAAAAAATTTCTTCTTTTTTTCCCTCTCCTTTTTTTATTCATTTTTTAATATTAGTAATAATATTAATATTATTGATAATAATAATGCTAATAATATTATTAGTAAGATAAATGATAATAATAATAATTAAACATTGTTATTATTATGCAATAATTATAGTAATTATCATTAATGCTAATATATTATTAATGTATATATAAAAACTTAATATTGAGATAAATCATCTTTTTGTCATTCATCTGTGAGAGATGATCAAGTGATATGCCTGGCTCGGCTGTGGAATGGTGGCTTGCTAGAGGTGAACTGAAAAAAGATCAATCGGTTGTTTGATCGTGGGAAAAGAAGTGGAGGGTTGAGTTTTACATGGTCGAAATTACGGAGCTGGAAGGATTGAACCACCTGGACTTGCATTCGGCCTGCTTGCATGAAGAGGGATGGAGGTCAGCATCAAACATGAGATTGGGAGATAGAGATGGACTACAGCAGGTTGGATAGGCGGGTGATTCAAAGAATTGGAGATTCTGATTGGCGAATTTGACTAAGGTTGGCTAGATGAGGGTGTTATGCTATAGAGAATCAGTCAAATGGGGGAAATAGAACAAAGGGGATCAGACAAGTGGTGCGGCTTTATGAAATCCTGGGGAAGGAGGGTGTTTTGGCTATTTCAACAAACGGATGTATAGGGATAATGAAAGTGCAGATCGGTGGGATCGTTCAGATTAGAATATGTGCACTTAAAAGATCACTAGATTGGAGGTTGGCTAGGCTTCAATATGATTCTTGTTGGAGACGAGCAGGGATATTTGACAGGTTTGATCGATAAGGAGGAATGTGGGTTTCATGTTGGAAAAGGTTATGTGGTTTGCTGAAGAAAGTAAGTTTGGTTTTCTAGAGTGGTTCGGCTGCAACAGGCTAAGTTCTCACGATCAGGGAGTCTACGGATGAGAAAGTTTTGTGAGGTTGACATCAAAACCGACTGAAAGAAATATCATTGAGTAAACAAGCTATGGTTGGGCGAATCGAAAGGTTAAACTAAAGTGTAATTGACTGTTGAAGAGGGTGACGATATTCGTGAGAATCGAATGGGAGTCGGCTAAAAATAGAGAGTAAAAAAAGATGGAGAAATTCGAGCTGCTGGAATTTCTTTTTCTCACTAGCAGAGGAAATTCTTGTTTAAGGAAATAGAATTTAGAAGATAATATCAATCAAATTGAGTTCAAATATTACTATATATAAACCTAATTAATTCAAATTTCAAACTGAATATATCCTTAGAGAATAGTTTTATCAAGGACACAAGGCTCTCTACTAGGGTTATATATATATATATATATATATAATCCAAAGTGATAATTAAAATATAATTCAAATTAAAATAGAGACATATTCTAATTTTAATGTTTTTTGTCATCTTGACACAACTTTTATTCTAAATGTGAATTGATTTATGGTATTATTAATTCAATAGAGAAAAATTATATATTTTTTAATATTAAATTGTAATATTAAATTTTTATATTTTTATACAATATTTTTAAGAAAAAATGCAACTTTTTGCTAATAGTATTAATAATTAGAATTTTTTATAGGGATAAAATAATAAACATATAAATAAATATTAATTATTAATATTATTAATTAAAGAATATATAATTATTAATATATTCTTTAATTAAATAATTCTAATTATTAATACTATTAATTAAAGAATATATAAAGAAAATATTAATAATATGAATTTTTACTTTAAAATTTGTATTATGCATATAATAAAACTATATATATACACATTTATTCTTTATAAACAAACCTCTTGCCCAATTGTTTTCTATTATAATAAATTTGATGTCATATATTGCTTCAATTTTCAACAATATATTATTATTGTTATTTTTATTTTATTAAAATCTTAAATACATTTGTCTTAAATTAGATATATAAGCGATATGAAAATTTTGATATTTTCGCAACACTCAATAGTGGACGTTTTAAAACCGCCTCTAAATGAATATCTAAGAAATTGTTAAAATCAGTCCTATTATTGGTGGTTAAAAATGGTACTATCATCAGTAGTTAAAGCCAATCTACAACCTCTAATAAATTGCAGCTGCAAGCCCTAGCCCTTATCACATAATCGATCAAACTTCTTCCAAGTCAACATGTTATGCAAGCAACAACTAGCTCATAGATGAAAGTGGCGACACTTGTAATTGATGGTAAAAATACATGTCATGCACATAACAGTTCATACAAGGGCTACAGACAATGAATGTAGAAATATCTTGTAGCCAACATCAACTTCTTGGATATAACTTGTCACTACAAGGCAAGTACACTAAACCACTAGTGAATGATGATGGTGGACATGATGCAAGTATAGTGGTTTCCTTAGAAGCATATCTATGGATCTGTAGTAGATGTACAAGCGAGGAACATACGATGTGAAGGTTCATATGAAAGTTGAAATTAAGAGCCCACTATAAACATGAATACCTGCAAGTAGTGGTGATAGAGATGATGCAAGTGTGGTAGATCCCCTATAAAAATAGAAGTGTCCTCATTCTATTAGAGCAGGGGGCTTTGCTGATCAAGTAAAATTAAGTTATCCAACTGACAACTTCAGAGATTTTGATAGTGATAGTTAGGATAAAGGCATCTTGGTTTAAAAAAAAAACCCTGCTGATATGTGACTAAAGGAAGGTCTTAAAAGTGGCACCAAACATGTAAGATTGAATGATTTTGTAGAGTCAAAGAATGATCAACTGAAAATGTGATTATGGGAAGGCACATCAAAATTGATCTAGGTAAAAGTACCATTGAGACTTGTATATCTTATCATCTCCTCAGAAATGATGAAGCTTCTAATGAAATGTTACCACTGTCTGAGTAAAAATCTGGAAATCAAGCTTTCCGACCTGATGTCCTACATGTGCATTATAAATGCATAAAATGTGTCCCTCAAGCTCATGACCATCCTCCAAGGAGATTACCTCATCATAAATCATAAAAGCCTAATGATACATCAATCGAGCATTTAGTTTCATCAATTTATGATATCACATCTACCACAAAGTAGCCTAAGGTAGTTCAGATGACCTCATCTAGTCTAAGCAAGATTGGATGACTTGAGCAGCTAATCTCTAAAAACATAAGACAACTATAAGAAGTTTGTTAGACCAGGTGATGTGCTTGTAAATTATAAATAGAAGCATAATACAACTCATGTCATTGCTGCTATAGATAAGGATTAAGCCTACATTAAAACAACAAAGCATCTCATGGTTGTGTTAGATGATAACGCCATGATTTACCTATAAACAAAGTGGGAAATCTATAGTAGAAACTGCAAACAACCAACATATCAAAGTAATAAATCTACGACATTTAATAATCATACCATATAAACCAACTTACATGCAAACGACAGGTGGAAGACCCCGATGCATCAAGCAATGCATTTGTAGGTAAAAGTAAACCCTTACGGGCTAAATGCTGAAGAAAGTGACAACATGCAATAGATGAAATGAGCTAAACGGCATCGTTAATACATGAAAAAATGAAGCCTAACATAGTGTCATGCCATCGGATCCGCAATACTCATACAAGAGGATAGAAGGCATCTACAAGATCTTAAATAAAACATTGTACGCATATAAATGATAGTCGCTTGCGCAGCCGATTACTGCTAAATATATTAAAATGTCCTCATACATGCATTACAACGGGCATCATAATCCACCCAAACTTGCCCTCATACTCACTATAGCTTGAAGGGTAGGATGAATGTATCCATTTGCAATGTTTTAGTAATTTGTTGAGTGTTTATTTTATCACCGGAAGAGGACGATGAAGAGATTGAGATACCAATTCCATGTACTTAATCTGATTTTTATGGCAAAGTGATTTTATTTGAAATATTTTTATAACTAAAGATGCAGACAATTGATTTAATGATTCACCAACTTTCTTTTAAATTTTGTAGATTGACATTTGGCACCAAAATTTAGGAAAATATGTTAAAGGCTTGGAGAAGTGAAAATTGGTAATGTCTTGTTGGTTATTTGTTTTATGTATTTTTCATTATCTTGAAATTTTGGCAAGCTCTATAATATTCTTGTTATTATTTACAGGTTGTCAAAGATGAAGAAAGCATGGAGAAATTATTTTTCCTTTTTGTTGATTTCGTGATGTTCTAGTTTAGTTACTTTAGTATATGTAATTTAAACTTTGTACAAACATTTGTAGTTGTATTTTCCTTTGATTTCAAAGCTCTGTATGATGTGAATGCACTACGTCATTGATGATTTGATCGGCACAAATAACAATTTGATGATTTCAAATCTTTAATTTTCATTTAATAGTTACTATTCTTGTTTACATCAATGATCAATCTGTGAGAGGATTGAGTGTTTTTCCTTCTATTTAGAAGAACGATATGCAAGTGTTTTGGTAAAAAATATTATAAAAAAGCATTCAATTCAAAAATAATCCATACTACATCAAAGCATCATTTTGATGGTGAAAATTTCTTAAGAAAATATTCAATTCGAGCCGTTTATCGATTGAGCACTCGAGTCGAGCTCAAACCGATTTTTCAAGCTCAAGCTAACGAGTTGAATTTGAGCCTGGAATGCAGACTCTCAAGTCGTGCTCGAGTTTGAGTTCGAGCCAACTGCATAATTAACGAGCCAGGCTCGAACTAACTCTGGCTCGAGCTTTGCACCCATAACTCCTGCATATATATTATAAGTGTAGTGTTATTTTATATGTGTATGGATGAGATAATTTTGATTTGTTGTAATCCTGAGGTTCTTATTTTTTCTTTAAAGATAGTTGCTCCACTTATCTGCTGTTATCACGCGGCGATGCTGCGCCTTTAAGGGTGGCACACTAGAAATCCCTTTTAGGGGGTGTTAGTTATTATTATTATTATTAACTAGTTAATATAAAATATTTAGATCAAATTTATTTTTATTATTATTATTATTATTATTATTATTTTTATTATTATTATTAATGATTATTTATCATATTAGTTAATATTAATAAAGGAAAAATAGAAATAATGAAATAAAAAAATTACAGAAATCATATATTTATAATTAATCAGATAAAATTTATTTACTTATAAATTCATTTAGATATTTGATAAAAATATTTAACTTTTCAAAATAATCAAATATCTTACAAAATTTCTAAAAATATTCATTTTGAAAATCCTTTTAATTTATTAAAATGTTATAAAAAATGACATAATTAATTAAAAAATTTCTCATTTGATATATTAGAAGTCATGTGACCATAAACTTAATTGAACTGAACTCTTTTAATCAAAGTTAACTTTTCCTTTACATGACAGCATGAAAGTATTATTTGACTCAAAAAAATTTACTAACCTCATAAATATGATTTAAATAAAGTTAAATTTGATTTCATCTTGAAAGATATTTAATATGAGTGGGTGCTAAATTCATTCAAATAAATGTATAACAATTTGGATTAAGTGATTTACATAACTTTTATATTTCATTATTTGTATTATGCCCATATTAATATTAACTAATAAATAAATATTTATTGATTAATAATATTTTGGATTAAGTGATTTACATAAATATTTTTTTGATAATGGGTGGGCCTCCAGTACATGCCTAGGGTGACCATAAAGGCCTCCAGGGTTCACTGAAGGGAGCCAAGGCTACGTCATTTCTGTAACGTATGATTATTTGACTAAACATTATATCATATATATTTGAGTGAGAAAGTAAAAGAATAGTCAAGTGTGTGCAAGTGTAGCCATTAGACATACAATGAATAGTCTTAACAGGTTCGCAGAAAACTATACCAGACCGTGGCATTTCGAGGCATTTCCGCAGACTCCCGACAAAGCATAGGAGCCTTCTCATAAGACTCCAAGCAAACAAGACCCGCTAACCAACGCGTATGCAAGATCCGACGTACCTCGCAAAAAATAGAAAGAGTGCAAATAGTAATGAGAGTAGACACTATTCAAAGAGAAACACAACTAAGCAAAAATTAATCTACAACTTTAGGATTCTTATCAATTACTTGAAAAGAAAGCATAAGAAGGGCATGCAAAAACAAGAGACATACATGAGTAGTTATGAATCATCATTAAAGTAAATATATACACGATACAATTTGAGGTAATATAGATTTGAATTTAATCTACACATGCTTGTGATTGGGGCATAAAACTAAAGACATCACATAACCTAGTTATAAATATTTTCGCTTACACAATATCAAATGTGTATGTGTGTTGTTGTCATATACATAATATATTCATGAATCAAACTTGCTGGTTATGCATTGCAATTGGAACATAACATTTAACTTCAACAAGAACAAAACACTTGGATTAAATATGTTGAAATGGGTAAAATCCAAATGTGAATGTACATCTCAAATCATGATTATGGTATTCATTAAACATTAAATTTATACATGATTTAAACATTAAATCTTCACATATGATCAAATGTACGTACATGAGTTTGATGCATGCATACAAGAGAATGTTTAAAACATATACGTGTCCATAAATTTTAACTCTAATGATTTGATTGAAATTGGATGCCGACACAAAGTTTTTTTAATTATTATTATTTGTTATAAATACTAATTTTAATGTACATGGATTAAAAACAAATGAATGAAGTTTTATAAAAAAAAAGGATATTATAAAAAAATTTAATTATGTTTTATTTGATGAAAATACAAAATAATTAATTGTCAATCATATAAATGAAAGTTAGATATCTTCTTTAAAATTATTTTACTAGATTAATGATATCATTAAAAAAAACATGTTAAAGGTTATAACTTTGGGTCTATTATCATAATTAAATGGTTTATTCATTTCAGAATAATTTATAACTAATTAATTATTTGCAGTTTCCATCCTAAAGAATATATTATCTTTTTTCATACTAACGATTATATTAAAAAAGAACCAAAAATATAAAAAATTACTCATTATATAATCTAATTAATCAATTAACTAGTTACATTGGGTCTAACGGTAAGGATAAAAAAATAATTAATTTAATAATCATAATCAATATCAAATCAACTAGTAAAAAGTTAATAATAATTAAGTTATATAATTACTAAAATGGTTGTCTAATTTATAATTATATATAAAAAAGTGAAGTTTTATCTGCCATTACTCCAACATTTATTGAATACTAGTTAGTGTAATTAAAATCTTATTAGCTTAATAAAACTCAATTTGGGCTAGTTAATCTAATTAATTCAAACAATCTCTTATGTATGCTTTCAAAACAAACGGTGATGCTCAGACACTTGATGGGAGTGTCAGATCTATAGGTGAACTTCAACATAACGTTCTTTATTGACAAATGGCTAAATGGCATAGTATTTTCAATCAAGTTAAGAAGTCCCTAGCTTATGGCATACGTCCAGACTATAGCACTTTTTTCTTTGTTTTCACATTTTTTTCCCTTTGTTTTCACTTTTAACTGAAGGATTGCGGGAGAAATAGGAAGATCATTACCTGTGGGGAGGAAGTGGTTCGTCGGTGAGAAGTCCGGTGGCTAACCCCGACAAGCTTGAAGGCTGACGGAGAGGTTGCGGGAAGCTAGAGGAAGGAAAAACCTGATGTGGATCGGCTGCCGAGAGAGATGACGAGAAAAGAGTCTTGCAACGCCCACAAGAGGACCAGTAGCTCGACGAAGTCGGTTCTGTGAAGGGATCGGGACTGGCGGCTGGCGTCCCGGTCAACTGGAAGAGATCCGGTCGAAAAACTAGCCTGGAGGTGGGGAAGCCAGCCACTGCGAGGAGATCAGAGGAGAGAGGGGCCAGAGACGTGAGAAGTAGAGAGAATCCGAGAGCCAAAGAGAAATCGGGCGGGTTGGAGGCGTGAGAGCAGAGAGATCGCGAGAGCCAGGGAGACCGACCACTTGCGTGAATGGGAGTTGCAGGGCCTGAGTGAGGAAGAAGGTTGAGGCCGATCCCTTGTCTAAAGCGGACCGAAGAGGAAAAAAAAAAGGAGAAAAAAAAACCGCTCGCTGCTGCTGGAGGTACATCTACCTGCTTCTTCTAAGCATGGAAATGGGATCTGTCCGCTGAACGTTGCTACCGATGTCTGCATTCGCTCCCCAAATAAGCAGCTCACGCGACTCAATCACCTGGCGACCACAGAACTGTGCTGTTGAAAAAATCGGAGCCGTATTGCATTTATTGATTTAGGAACATATTCAAATTGTTTTGAAAGTTAATTAATTTAAACAATTTATTTATACGTGATGTTTGCAACCAAAATTTTTTAATGAGGAATTCATAAACCAAACTTGATTGAGATTTGATTGAGATGATTTTTATGTTGGCTTGCATGACATTTACTAAGATCAAATCTTTGTAACTATTATTAGTAAATATTATCTTTGTCAACACATTAAATATTATACGTCTGCATTTCATTGCACATAAAGTATTCCACTCATAGCTGCAGCACTAATTCATTAACACACCATACTCAGAATGACACTAACCACACTTTGACATTCCTCAACCCCCTGTTCCCTAAGCCTTTGTATAAAACTCACTGAGCTATGTATTCAATGCTGATGAATGAAATATATGTTTTGCTGCTTTGTTCTCTTCTTCTACTAATGTTGCTGGTGTTTTGTTATGGCATAAGAGCCAAATAGCGTTACTGATATCTACCTCTCAACACAAATGACAAAGCAAGGCTCTTCGTCTCAGTCTCAAGTTGCATAGTCACAGTCTCAACCTACTTTATCCGTCTCCGCTTCCATGGCGAACTTCACAACCCCACCTCCTCTCAAGTTCTTATTGTGAAATCTCAAGCTCATTATGCACACTCAACTCACGATCAACAACTACGCCATATGGCGTTTACAAATCTATTAAGCATTCTCCGCGAATGGATTCGACGGCTACGTTACTGGTCAACTACAGTGCCCACCGCAACCCACCTGTTCCAATGAGCAGTCGAATGACTACAAATTGTTGAAACTAATAGGCCAAAACCTTATATCCACACTATTTTCCACAATATCACCCTTTGTGCTGCCATACATCTCCTCCATATGAAAATCTCACACGACGTCTGGACTACTCTAGAGCTCCGACTACAACCCACCAACCACTCTAGAGTAATACAAATGAAGAATGAGCTTTATAATGTCCAGATGCTCGATCAAACCATATCGCAATACCTAGCTCAGATTAAATCGCTAGTTGACAACATAGCGGCTGTCGGCTCCCGCATTGACACAGAGTACATCATTTTGTACACTCTCAAAGGGCTTTCGCCCTCATACAACTCGTTCAAGGTTGCTATACATACCTCACCTCATACCATTACACTCGAGACCCTCTATTTTGTCCTCTATAGTGAGGAAATAAATCTTCAATCTGAGCTCTAGCAAGATACTATGACAACACCTGATATTCAAGTGTTATACAACTCACGGGGTCATGGATGCTCCCCTTCTTTCAAAAGCAATAGAGGTTGAGGAGCCTCCTTCAATCCATCTGTAGCTGCTCCCAGGCCGCCTCAGTTGACGCCTTACAGAACTCAGCAACCCAGCTAACAGATTGCGATAAATTGGGATAAATTACTCTCTCATGCTAGAATAGATACAATCCAAGTTATGCTCCGCAATCATCAGCAAATCCTCGTCCCTTACTCACTCAGACTTAGCCGAACCCAACCACTAAGTAGGTTCTCGATTCTGGAGCATCTACGCATCTCACACCTGATATAGTCAACCTCCAACATTCAATTCCCTATCAGGAATCTGATTCAATCTTAACAGCAAGTGGATCATCCCTTCCCATACAACACAGTCGCATTGGTCTTTTACCTCTATCAGACACTAGCTGTAAGATAAAACTGCACAACCTTCTACATGTCACCTCCCTTTCTTGCAATCTTCTTTCAATTTCCAAACTCACCTCTGAAAATAATTGTTCTATTTATTTTGACTCCAGTGGGTTCATTATCAAGGATCTTCTGGACAACAAAACTCTACTCCGTGACCATAATAGGGATGGCATCTATCCAATCCGCACCATCAACTGCAATCTAGTTCAAGCATTACACACTACTCCAAATCTGATCTCCTTATGGCATGTTCGCCTTGGACATCCTCTTCCTCATGCGATGACAACATTATCTAGGTTTATCCTAGCTTTATGTAATAGCACCTCATCCTTTCTATGCACGTCTTGTAAAGTGACCAAAAGCCATAAGTTATCATTCACAAAACAAGATACTCATGTATCCACTCCATTTAGTTTAATACATTCAGATGTTTGGGGTCCATCCCCTATTTCTTCTTTACATGGCTATCAATATTATACTGTTTTATTGATGATGGAACTAGATTTTGCTGGCTATACCTCATGCACTCCAAAAATGAAACTCTCACTAAATTTCAACAATTTCTCAACATGGTAAAAACTCAATTCAATTCAACCATAAAAACCTTCAGATCCGATCGTGGAGGGGAATTCACAAGTCAAATCTTCAAACAATTTCTTCTTAATTATGACATCCGTCATGAGCTAAGCTGTGCCTACACTCCCGAGCAAAACGGAGTCTCTGAACACAAACACCATCACCTCCTTGACACTACACGCATTCTCCTACATACAACCAAACTTTTCCCACAATTCTGGGTTGAAGCAATTCAAACGACAAATTACCTCATAAACTGATTGTCAACATCCTCTCCAACTCTCAAATCCCATTCACTCTTCTTCACGGCCACCCCACCTATGATCACCTCAAAAACTTTGGCTGCTTATGCTTTCCATGTCTACAACCTCAAGCACCTCACAAACTAGCAACTCACTCCACTCCCTGCAACTTTCTAGGCTACTCATCCTCTCACAAAGGATACCGCCGCTATAACCCTCAGACTCAAAAACTGCACATTTCCCATCATTTAATCTTCTATGAGCAGCACTTTTCCTCAACAAGCAACTCAATCACTACCACTCCTATAACCACTTCATCAACCTCAACCTTTCTCTTAATTCCAACATCCACCTAAACCACCATACCAAACACAACACAACCACATCATCCATTAACCTCACCAAATATCCAACACAGCCAATGAACCACCCGAACACATCTCCCCTCCTACAGAACCTCAGCAAATTACATCCCTCACGTGTCCTATTCTGGTTCCCTCCCACCACATGAAGACAAGACTTCAAACATGCCACCTCAACCCTAAAAAGATATTTAATCTACTTGATGTTACAGATTCAGTACCCACACCAACATGCTGCACCCAAGCATCCAAAATTCCACACTAGAGAGAAGCTATGTCAGCTGAATTTGATGCACTTCAAAAATAGGGCACCTGGTCTCTAACACCACTTCTCACCAATGCTCCAGTTCTTGGCTGCAAGTGGACATATAAAACCAAGCTACATCCAGATGAAAAAATAGATCGCTACAAAGCAAGACTTGTTGCACAAGGCTACACCCAACAACATGGCATAAACTATAAAGACACCTTTAGCTAGTGGCCAAAATGCTAACTATAAGAGTTTTACTGATCATAGCTCTTCAAAGGAACTGACAAACCTTACAATTCGATGTACCCAATTCTTTTCTTCACTAAGAACTTTAAGAGGAAGTATATACGCAACAACCGTAAGGTTTCACAGATCCCAATCATTCTCAACATGTTTGCAAACTCCATAAGGCCATTTATGGCCTCATACAAGCACCACGTCAGTGGTTCCTGTTGGCTCAAAAAAAATGGCACGAATGCACGAATCCCACTTCGCAGCCATAGGATTCCATTTCCTTTAAGTCAGATTGTAGTTAACCAGATTTCCCTAAGGGTAGTGTCAGGATTGAAAGATCTGGGGTCCTTACTTCCTATGAGCGTAAGCACTCATAGTTAATTACCCTCTTACTACGTAAGAGAGAACTCTCGATTAAGGACGAATAAATTTTAGATATATTTAGTCTCAATAGTGGGAAGATGGAGGTAAACCCGATCAAGATCCCATGGTTCCATTGTCCCAAGTATGTCGTAGATTTCAGTATACCTACACTAACAATCATTGACCATAGTGTCCAGGGAATCTGATTAGCAGCCAATGGGTTGCCTCCTCTCAGGAATCCCGAGTAGACTGAAATGTTTAAATGTGTAGATTTTAGTTTTAATTTTCTTTTATTTGGGGTTTACATCTATCAGAATACCCAAAAATTAATTTGGTATGAGATTTATGACTTCGTTTAGAAGTAACTCAGGAGTTTGGTTTAGAGCGGGTCTTATGGTTTCTTTAGGAAGTAGCCTAGAGATTAAAATTTAGGTTGGGACATAAAACTTTCGTAGAAAGTAGCATGGGGATTTAATTTGGAATGGGGCTTACTGCTCTATTTATGAGTTTCCCAAGGATAAATCTTACAACCTAACTTTACAGCAATGTTTCCCGGAAGTTTCAATTATTTGGGTAGGACTTATGGCTTCTTAGAAACCAGCCTAAAAAAAAGCATGTCTTACAACTTAATCCATTAGATTAAGATGTCCATATGATTAAATTTGATTGTTTGGGGTTTATGATCGTTGCTATTTATTTAACAATTTTCCTAAAACATGGGTCTTACGGCTTCACTGACAAGTTGCCCAAATAGCGGGTCTTACAACTTAGTCATATAGACTAAGATGCCCGAAGGCTTTAATTACTTAGGTAGGAAATCCTACGATAGAAATTCCACATGCTTTGAACATAGGAATTATTATTATTATACTTCAAAATATTATATAAAGATGAAATTCTTTCTTGAGGCTTTTGCCTTGATTTTTTAACAAAAGTTATTTCATATGATTCGATTTATGTAGGGACTTACGGCCTCTGCTAGGGTAGGCCAAAGATTTTTAGTTGGGAAGGTCTTAGTACTTCGTTAGAAGTTACTTAACGATGGGTCTTACGACTTATAACCTTAAGCTAAGTGACCCGAGGTGTGGGTCTTACAATCAAGCCCTATATACTAGGCTGCCCGAATGAGGGGTCTAGGATTGTATTATCACCTAAACATTTCCCTCAGAGGTCGAACTTACGAATTATGTTAGAAGTGGCCGCGAGTTTTAATTAGGGGTTAGGAGTTAGGTCAATTTTACCTAAAACTTTACCCTAAGGTTGGACTTTACTTTCC